TCTGATGTAAAAATGTACATGCATCATGAAAAATAATTGCTGTTCAATTACTACTGAATTATAAAGCTCCCGCACAGGTGCAATAATGCCAAGGCCCCTGAAAGCATAACAAACTGCCTAGCCTGGGTAATTATGTATATTTCAATAAAGTCCCTAGAATAAAATTTGCAGAGTTTCAAGAAACAATGAAATCAGGACCAAAGATCTATTTATAGCCATGCATTTTTAAATTTTCTATTCTTTCTTTTGTATATATTTTGAAAAGCCAGGGATAATTTTTTTTAACTCTGGGGTCTGAGAAGTCAGAGAAGCAAAAGCCCTTCCTCTGCCTTATAATGTTCCCAGAGGGACGGTATTGCAGAGGTAGAAATCTAGACGGAACCATAATAACTGCATTTAAAAGAAAATAGTAACATCATACTTATGCCCTGTGCTTAGTTTACATGTATGAGAAGTAAAATTGATAGGAGGATGAGTCTATTAGGAAAAGACATATTTCCTATAAATATCTGGTGTTTAGTAAGAGAAATTAGACTCAGAAAAAAAAAAGAGCCTTAAATATCATCTAAGCCACAGCCCTTAGTCACTGCAAGAAACAGATGTACTATGAAGCGAATTTTATTGTTTAAATGTATGTGGATGCTGTGGAAAAGTCTAGAATAGCATTTCTGCAATATTACAGACTTGACTTGTTGATTCACCACAATTTCTACCTTTCAAGATGGTCAAAAGGCAACCCTCTAGGGTAGATTTTTTTTTCAACCCAACCAAGGTGCATTGATTTTGTCACAGAAAAGCTATTAATTAAGTTCTCCTTGACCAGTCCCTTGACCACTGTCCTGGTTTCCTTTCTGCTTCTGTGATACAAAAATTCTGACCAAAAGCAGCTTGGGGAAGGAAAGGGTTTACTTGGCTTACACTTCCAGGTAACAGTCCATCATTGAGGGAGGTCAGGGCAGGAACTTGAAGCAGGAATCATGGAGGGGCGCAGCTTGCTGGCTTGCTCTCCTGCTCAAAATCTGGTTTGTAACCTGATGTGCTCTCCGGCCTGCTTTCTCTAGCTTAGCTAGCTTTCTTATACAGTCTAGGACCATGTTCCTTAGGGATATTGCCACCCATAGTGGGATGGACCCTCCTGAATCAATTAACAATCAAGACAACCCCCTCCCCAAGACATGCCCACAGGCCAATCCAATTAATGAAATCACTCAATCAAGGCTTTCCTTTGAGATGTCTCTAGGCTGTGTAAAGTTAACAATTAAGGCAAAGAACAGTCACTCAGCTCTTCAGTCAAACATAAGGGTCATTGGGGGCGGAGAGATGGTTCAGTGAGTAAGCGCATTGGCTGCACAAGCGTGAGAACCTGAGTTTGGATCCCAACTCACATAAAAAGCTGGGTGTTCATGCATGTGCCTCTAACCTCTGCACTGTGGAAGACGGAGACAGGAGGATCACTGGGGTGTGCTGGCCACCAGTCTAGGTCTAGGAACATCAAGAGATGCTTATCTTATGAGAATAAGAGGGACAGTAGTCGAACACGACACCCAACATCCTCCTCTGGCCTCTACACATGCGGGGACGTGCATAACCATACATACACATACGTACACATACATGTGCATACATTCCTACACATGGAAAAATTAAAATAAATTAATAAGAGCCATTCCCTAAATACATTCTGCAAGAGCATTACATCCTTTTAACTGCTTAAACATATCTTTAGTCACTAAATCCCCTTCTAATTCCATTCTTTTAAGGGTTACTCGGAATCAAACATAGGACCTCATATATGCTAAGCAAGAATTCCACTTCAGCCTATAGCCTTAGCCCTCTTTTTACTTTTTATTTTGAGACAGGCTCTCACTAAGTTGTCCAGGCTGGCCTTAAATTCAGTCTATAGCCTTGGCAGAACTTGAAATACTCCTGCCTCATCCTCCCAAGCAGCTGGGATTATAAATTAAAGCTACCAGGCCTCGCAATACTTTAAAATTTCAAGTATCTGGTTAGTGTCACATGGTCTACCACTAGAAGGCAGTAGACATGTACTGACATAACTAGCAAAATGCAGGCACTATTCAAAGCAGAGGACACATATGAATAAATATGAAATTGCCCCAAGTCTCAAAGAACTAGTGATTAGCAAGAAAAATAGGCTTGCAAACTTGTATAAGTAATATGAGCATTCAAATAGAGTTGTGGACAGTGCCTTAAGAACATGGATAGGCTAGGATGGTAATGCAAGCCTTTTATCCCAGCAGGCAGCTCAACAGGTTGTAGATTCTGTCATGGTGGGGAGGCATGGTGGCAGAAGGTGGCTGGAGCAGGAGCAGAAGATAAGCTCTCACATCTTCAAGCAGGCACAGGAAGCAGAGAGTGACTGGAGATCTGGCAAGGCTTAAGAATTCTCTAAGCTCACCCCCAGTGATGTGCTTCCTCCAGCACAGCCACACATTCTTCTAAGACCTCTGGAAACAGTGCCATGGACGGGGGACAAAATGTCCAAATACTTGTGGCCTATGGGGGACATTCTCCTTCAAAGCACCACACTTCCTGAGCTTGCCGAGCTTCCCTGTGGGATGGAATGTTTCACCTCCCTCTGTGTCTTAAGGTGCTTTCCTCCAAATGGAATGTTCATCTTGGAGGAAATTGCTATGCAATGCCATTCATGAGTCATACCATCCATGTATATTTCTAATTTTTTTATTAGTGTGTGTGTGTAATTCATGTGTGTGGCTGCTCATGCCTGGGAACTGACATGGAGGTCAAAGGACAACTTTTGTGAAGTTGAGTTGGTTCTCTACTTGGACCTTTATGTGGGTTCCAGGCAGCAAACTCAAGTCACCTCACTTGCAAGTAGCAAATGATCCACTGAGCCATCTCACCAGCCCTCCTCCCATAATTAAAGTTGCAGAGGAGAAAAGGAAATGGTCAATCCTAAGCTATGTGTCATCTCTTCAGTCAGAACAAAAGGGGCTGTATTAGTTACTTTTCTTGTCAATGTGACCAAATATCTGAAGCAACTTCACGGAGGAATTAGGACTCACTCATTTTGGCTCATAGCATTAGAAGGTTCAATTATTCACCATGGCTGGATGGTTGGCGGGAACCAGAGAAGTTCATGTCATGGCAACCAGCATAGAAAAGGAAATACAGGAGGGAGTCAGGGCAATATATAGCCCCCCAAGGACATGCCCCCAGTAGCCTCGTTCCTTTTAGTAGGCCCCACCTCCTCCTTTTCCAGGGGTGCTCTCATGATCATCCCACCTTGATCTCCTGTAATAGATGGGAGCCATTCCGAAAGTAGGCTGAACACACCTTTGCCCATGGAAGGCTTCATGTATACACATTTTCCAAGAATAAGGACACATATCATCACTTTCAGCTCAGAAAAGTGCCGATGTTCAAGAGATAAACTGAGTGATCACTCTACACAAATGAAAATAGGACATTGTGTTGGTTTCTCTTCTCTTGCTATGATAAAATACTCTAACAAAAAGTAATTTAGGGGAGAAAGGGGTTGTTTTGGCTTACAGTTCCAGTGGGATAGAGTCCATCATGTCCAGGAAGACATGGCAGGAGTCACAGAAAGCATGGTGGCAGGAACAGGAAGCTGGCTGACACATCTTCATCCACACACAGGAAGTAGAGGGAGAGAATAGGAAACGGGCAAAGACTGTAAAAGTCTCCCCCAGTGACATATTTCCTTCAGCAAGTCTCCACCTTCTAAAGGTTCCATAACTTCTCCAAAAAGTTCTACCAGCTGGGGACCAAGTGTTCAAACACAGAAGCCTACAAGGGATATTTCCATATTCAAAGAACAGTAGACATTATTGTCAAAGAAGACACAGGTGGTGCTGAGACCGTGAGAATATCAGCCCATGCAACCAGACTGTTAGACGAAGTCAAAGCAAAGCACTTTGCTCCCAGTCTCACGGGGCAGATGAGAATCATAGTCCACAACCTTCATCCATCTGTGGGTTTTGACTCCAACGTGAACCTAATGCATGGTACATTCTTGTAACCTGACCCAATAGTTCTATTCCCTTGTCTTCCCAGATTCTGGTCACTAAACCCTGAAATGGTGAGACATTCTCTTTCACTGCTGATTTTGTTAGTTTAATGGTGCCCTCCTGCTTTCCAAAATAGAAGGCTAGCAACCATTCACCCAGCTGGAGGGTCAGATTAAGACCAGATCCAATATTCCATAAAGCATGTGTGGGCTGGTTGCTGTATTCCTGACTGCTGGTTAGTAATCAGTGAGTCTAATGGAGCCTTTTGATTTTGATTTCCTCAGAGAGACTGTTCTACAAGCATGGGGTCAACTTAAAGGAAGCAGAGTTTTATTTAATATTTCTCCTTTCATTAGTGCACTTAAATTACTTTCTTGTAAACTCTGCTTGTTACCTAAATGTACTAGCACTTTTGTTTCCTAATTAACTTTCTTATCAGAATTCCAACCAAAAATAACAAGAAATGTAATGATGATAAGGTATCCTGCCCCCTCAAAACAGAGTTTCTTTTGCGCTTTATCTCTTGGTACTGTTCTGGCTTGTTTAATTAAAATATCAGAAATTATTAGACTCAAATTATTTCTTGATCTAGTGCTCAAATTCCCCCGAAGAACTGTATCTTCTGCCTCTGTATTTAAACCTTTATCTGTATGAGGCAGATGAACTTCCAGACCCGTACAACTGGATTCGTGTAATTCAATATAATTTTGGAGGAAGCACCTAATTTAGTCTCTAAGTAATTAAACAAACAAATCAGATTTGTCTACACTGAGCCTTGAATGTTCAAACACTCAGGTCTCCCCCCTCCCTTGGGTTTCTCAATCATCAAAATAAATAGCATTGATGTGCAAAAAACCTTAGAAAATTTTAGCATGGCGATGTGAAATTCAAAGCAGCAATCTTACTTTTTTTTTTCATTAGTGGATGGGGGTAAAAAAGTCACTAAGTCCATGCCACTCATATAAGCAGTATTCAGGGGCAGTAGTCATGCCTGTTACAGACTTCAACATAAATGATGAAAAACTAGCTGTCCACGGTGGCCCTGAGCATCGGAAAACTCTGAGACATTTCCAGGCTGGAATCTGCTTGCTTCTAGTGGAGCTGTGTGAGAGGTTGACCTTCTTCGAAGTCGTCTGCAACATGATCCCATTTTGCACCATGAAGCTTGGCTACTGCAATCACCAGGCAGCCATTCTAAGCTTGTGCTTTGTTGGAACCCCAGTCCTTACCAGTGTGTTTGTGGAATGGCTTGCAGATGTCTTCTTAGAAAGGAACAGACTGATATATATATCCTTAGGTCTACATTTCCTAGGTGAGTGTCCCCTGCCAACTGGATTCTTCTGCTTGCTTAACTGAATGCTTTTTTGTTAGAATTGCTTGGTTTATATTACCCCCACCCTGTTCTTAACATTCAATATGCTAGATAAAGAATGTTATTGTTTCCGTTTATTTCATTCTATATATTATTTAAGATGTGACTACATGTGTGTGTTGTTTCACAGATCCTCTAGTGACTATATCATTACAATATTATATTTTTGGTAATGATTTCTTTGCACATCAATTTTCTGTACACCTTACAATGCCCTTGCTTCACTCTTTGACATCCGAACCTAAATTTGTGACAAATTCTATATGAAACATGAAATTCATTTGCCTCACAGCTAAGATGAAATGTGTTTAAAAGGTTGCTGAAGTTCATGTAGCATAATTAGGAAATGTGTTTATCAAAAGGCATTTTTATAATGAATCATGCAGTCATTATATTTCATATGAAGGCATGACTTTTGTATTTTTAACTGTGGTTTAAAGATGAGTGAATTCAGTCTCTATGCTGTGCTTGTTTACATGGAGAAAATAAATATACTACACAAGTTTGGGCATGGAATGATGGTGAGAAATGTTAGGGAAATATTGAGACAGCTTGAAGAGCTTCATAAGGGGTAAAGAGCACTGCTGGTGGGTAGTCTGCAAGTGTGTGTGTGTGTGTATGTGTGTGTGTGTGTGTGTGTGTGTGTCTGTGTGTCTGTGTGTGTCTGTGTCTGTGTGTGTATACACTCACATGCCATAGTTCATATATGGGGATCAGAGGACAGCTTTCTCAGGAGTAGGTCCTCGCCTTTTGCTTTGTTTGAGGATCTTTCTTATTATTTCTGCCATTGCAATATCTACTCCAGGCTAAATGGCCAGCAAGCTTCCAGCTGATTAGCCCATCTCTCCCTCCTATTCAACATAGAAGTGCTAGGATTACAAATGTGCTCTACCACATCTAGCATTTTACAAGGGCTTCAGGGATCCAAACTCAGGTTGTCAGGCTGAACAGCTAACACTTTTATACTGACCCATCTCCCTCTCCCTAGTATGCAACTTTAAACTGAATCATCCAGAGAGGCTGGAAAACCCAGCTGGAAAAGGGTTTACTTCAATAGACAGGATGCACAACCACAGTGATTGTTTAAGCGGAGACCAAAAAAGTCTCGGGATGATGGTCTATGCAAGAGAGAAGTACCAATTAAAAGGGGAAGTGTGATAAAGGGACAGAAATTACCTCCAAGGTTTGAGCTGAGGAACCTAGGCAGGTAGTGTGCTGTGGATGTGTAGTACATGGCGCAGATGAAGTATATGTTGTCTGGAAGCAAATGGAAAAGGTGAGGAAAGAGAGCAGGTGCTGGGAATCACCAGAGTTCAGGCAGTGGTAAATGGCCATTCCAGAAATTGATAAGAGCATAACTCAGAGATGTAAGTCTCAATACTTGAGTTATGTGAAATAAAGACTAAGTTTCTGAGTGGCAGATATTCCTTCAACGTTCAGAAAATGTTTCTTGCTAATGGCTCTGTGACAGGGTATTGCTTTGAGATCTGAGAAGGAAGTAAAGGCAAAACCTTGTGCTCCTGCTCACCTTTCAAGTAATGGAAGAGAAAATCAACAGATGAATAGATACTCTGGCAGGTGGTTCTAAGTGCTCTAGGAAAGTAGACCTGGGTCAGGGGGCAGAGGGAAGGAATATTGGTACATGTACTACTTCATCCTGAAAGATGTATGCTTTTGTCTTGGCAACATGCTACACCAGACATACTTGGTAGCTTTCTTGTTTGATGTGGTAATTTCTTTGGTTTTAAAAACTATTTTATTTATTATTTTTAATTTATATGTACAAGTGTATTGCCTGCAAGTATGTAAGTGTACCTGTGTCATGCAATGTCTGCAGAGGTCAGAAGAAGGCCTAGAACTGGAGATCCCCTAGAATTGGAGTTAGGATGGCTGTTAGCCACTATGTGGGTGCTGGGATTCAAACCTGGGTCCTCTGCAAAAGCAGTCAGTGCTCTTAACTGCTGAACCATCTTCCCAGTCCTAATGTGGTAATTTTTATCAGTCTGAATTCCAGGGAAGAGTACAATACGAGGTCAGAAATCTTAACCTTGGAAAATTCCAAACAAAAACATTAAATCAACTCACTTTCTGTTCTTTTTTTCTTTTTCCTGCCAGTATTGGAGATTAAACCTTGGACTTCACACATGCTAGGCAAGCACTCTACTGTTATGCTAGAGCCCCAACTCTCTTTTTAGCTTTTTGAAATAGGGTCTCACTAAGTTGCCCGGGGAGTTCTTGAAATGACTGCATAACTCAGTCAGGTCTTGAACTTGGAATCATCCTACTTTATCCTCTAGAATGGCTGGATTATAGGCCTGTGGCAGGACCACGCCTAACTTCATTTTCTTACTTTTAGTTAGTTCCTGTATCTCTATTCATAACTGCTCCTAAATTCCAACCTATCATGAAGTATCAGAGATTGTGATACTTCCATTTGAATTGCTACAAACTTAGTTTAAAAAGATGAAGCTCTCCTCTTCCTGATCATGGCCTATTAACGGGGCTGTCAGTAATCTGTCCAACTCCAGACCACATACCATCTCGCCAACATTGACTTCCTGAAGAAAAGAATTCATATATTGTTCCTATGATCTAAAAAATAAATTCCGAATTTATTAAGTTAGCACATACTACCTTCATTTCAAATTTAACCCTTGAAAATGCTCCGTCAGTGATTGCCTCCAATTACTATGAACTCATTGGCCATGACCCTGTATTACCCTCATGTACACTTTTCTCTATGCCTGAAATTCCCACTTTCTTCATCTTTTTACTCTGTATCTGAGATTTTAAAACGTCTGCTGTTTTGTCAAGACCTGTGTGGTGTTAATTGCTAGTCTCTCTGTGCTTAGCCATGCTGTTATCAAATGCAGATGTGACTGCAGGGACTGTGGAGATAGATGTCTCAGTTGGTAAGGTGCTTGCCATGTAATCATGATGTGAGTTTGATCCCTAGTATCAAGGTCAAAATGCCAGGTGTGGTGGTGACAAACTGTAATTCCAGCCCTAGGCAGATCCATCAGGCCTTCATGTGAAAGACTTTTCCTGGGAATAGACTGCACACACACACACACACACACAATCTACCCACAACAGATAAGAAACCCACAACAGATCCAAGTAATGATTGCACTGAAATCCAACTTAGTGAGTCAATGAGTTTCTATTTGGGTTACTAACAGGAAATGGGTGAGGGGTCACCTATGGGAGCTGAGATGACTCAAAAGCAGCTTCAACACCTACTGAAAAGCCAACCCCAACATGGATGATGATTCATGAAACCCGCATCTCTGGAGCTTTCTGCAGAATTTTCAGGCAGATAGACAGGCCAGAGAATCTCCTCTCTGAAGCCCACTTGGTCAAAATCTCCTCCCAGAGCAGTCCTTCACCGCTTTTATAAACCTGGAGTGGGGACCTGGTAACTCTTACAAGTTTCAGCTTTCCCAGACATATTGAGTTTGTTTACCTGGTGAGTCTCATGAGCTCTGACCCCCATCCTCAGGTCCTCCTGGAAGGAATGTTTCAATTAGGAGGAGAACGCTATACAATGCTAGGCTTCATGGTGGGAGCTAAACCACTGAGACAGCCGGACTCACAAAACAAAGTAGATGGCTCCTGTGGAGTAACACCCAGCCTTGTCCCTTGAGTTCCACCTTCATCTATATATGGGTGACTCAGACATGCATGCATGAACACACACACACACACACACACACACACACACACACACACACAATCTAGATAATTGCACCTACCACTGTATCATGTAACTGTCCCTCAGAAATTCTTTCTTCTATGATGGACCCACTTGCTCCTGCACTGAAGGATCAGGGCACCCCTCCCCTCCACCACACAGAAGATGTGACACAGCACAGTGCTCTACACAGAGCTTACAGATGCAGCCAGACTATGGACATAGGGCACAACGGCACACATCAGAGGATACTTTTGTCAGATTTATCACAGATTTGCATTTTTATCATAAAAGTTGTACTGCAGACAGAAATGAAATTTGAGCTAATAAAATCAATGTTTAATGACATTTTCTTTTAAAAATGGAAGTGTCTTTCTAACTTACACTGAGGTTTCAGATGGTCTGAAAGTAGATTGTCCTTAAACAGATGGTTGCTGCATGGAGCAACAGATCTGACTATTCTGGATTTTAATGTTTGTTTTTGTTTTGCTTGTTTATTTTTTGAGGCAGGGTTTCCCTGTAGCCCCAGCTGGTCTGGAACTCAATAGATAGACTGCCCGCCTCTGCCTCTTGAGTGCTGACATTGAAGGTGTGTGCAACCACACCCAGTCTAATCTAACCATTCTGTTTGGACAATCCTTCCCACATCCAAGCTTCACATAATGCTTCCAGAGACAAGGATTAAACAGTAGAGAAAGAACAGGTTGTTGCACATCAGGCTGACCTTGAAAGAAATATAATAATCGATCATATATATTCTTCCTATTAATAAAAACCACTATAGAGAATGTGGAAACATCATATCCAATTTTTATCTAAATGGAATGTATGAGCTAACTCAGGAAACTAGCCACCTAAAACCACACTATGAAAATTCATACCAAAAGGGCTGTCAAAGTCACAGAAACAAAACAAAACTAAAATGGAGAAATTTTTTGTCATTTTGACAAAAAAAAATTCATGGTGCTTGGGATATAGCTCAGTAACAGGGGGCATGATGAACATATGTGAGGCCCTGGGTTCAGTCACCAGGACCACAGGAAGGAAGAAAGGGAGGGAGGAAGAAAGACATCCCAGTTTTTTTCAAGAGGAAGCAATATAGGATATGACAAAGCTTTACAAAATATAAAAGGCCTAGCAAGCACATGCATCTGCACCATAATGATTATTAGATAGGGAGACTCATCCAGCATGACCACTGTGAAGTAGACATGCAAAGGAAGTTCAGACTTCCTCTGTCACTCTGAGTCTGCCTCCTTCCAACTGATCTGCATGACCCAAGTCACACGCCTATCCCCCAGGTTTCTCACCACTCTGTGTGTGCCAGGAAGGCTCCAGGCACACATAAAGTACATAAGGGAAAAGAGAGGTAGAAAAAGAGAACAGGCTGTACTTTCCTATTATAATATTCTCAAAAGCTCTCGCCAGATATCTGAGACCATATTTCCATTATCATACTAAGAACAAATAACTCATTAATGTGCTTTTCTCTTGCAAGGCCAGGGAAGGGTAGAGTGATAGAGATAGCTTTATTTTGTGTGTGTGGTGACATCCTGTTTTGAGAGGTTCTTTCTGTTTTGTTTTGTTTTGTTTGAGGCAGGGCCTCATGTAGTCAGGCTGGTCTGGAACTTACTAGTAGCCAAGGATGACTATAGGAATGACTTTTACAAAATGGACAGAATCTGGACTAATGACTTTTAATTAACTTTGCCAAATGCACTGAGCCATGTGCTCTTGTGATGTGGACCTCTGACCTTGATTTCTTGGAACTTCAATTTGCAGCTCCATCCAAAGATAATGAATGAATGTGGATATGTTTCAGAATTAACGTACCAAAGCTCTGAAAGGCAGTGCATGCATCCTCACTGAAAACAGTGACAGTGGAAGACTGCTTGACATTGTGTGAGACTTTCTAGAACCAGGCGTGAACGGCAAGATTGTCTGATAAGATAAGGGTGGATCCAAGCTTATAGTACCTGAATTGAAGCTGGAGAAACAGTTCAGAATAAAAGTATGGGTGAGGCTTGACTCCACAGCACAGTGCCAAGAGACATTTCAGGTTAAGGGTGTCCTCTGAATTCAGGCCCACTCTTAAAATCTAAAGTTAGAGCTGGGTGTGGTGACACATGCCTTTAATCCCAGCACTTGGGAGACAGGGGCGGATCTCTTTGAGTTCAAGGCAAGCCTGGTCTACATAGTAAATTCCAGGCCAGCTGGGTCTAAAGGGAGTCCTTGTTTCAAAAAAAAAAAAATTTCTAAAGTTAAGATTCAGGTATTAACTGTCATGTGGCATGGTAATGGTCACAGATGACCTTGAACTCCTGATCACCCTACCTCTACTCCTGAGTGCTTGGATTACAGCACCATGCCCAGTAGATAGTTTTTCATATGATACATTGCTGAAGTATTTTGATGTTGTTAAAAATGAACATCATTGTTATTATGCATTCTTGGAGAAAGGATAGTTTAAGTTTGAAGGGGGAAGAAACAGAACTTTGGATTAATTAAAACACATAATGAAGGAAATTCTCACACTTAGAAAAACCAAGCTATCCCACAAGTTGCAATGAGCAACATAAATATTTTAGCAACAATGCTCCTTTCAGAGGAAAGCCCTTATTTAGATGCAATCTGGTGATTCCTCTTCTTCTCTCTCCACCAACAGGCACTGCGTTGTTATCTGTGGTTGGTTTTCCCTCGGAAGATTTCTATGTAGGCACTTACTATGTGGTTAATAAAGTGTCCACAAAGGAGCGGAACAGGCTGTTTCACGCAGCACTTCTGAGCATCTCCCTGGGCACAGGAGGAATAAGAGCTGTCGTTTGCCCACCGGGGGCTTACAGTCTTCATAAGTGTGGATCAAAGAAGCCAATGTCCTTTTTTAACTGGTAAGTGGCACTGAGTAGAAGAGGAAACAGAATTATGACATGCTTCCCTTATTTGGGTTTTTTCATTTGGTCTGTTATTGGTTGAGCTGGGTAAGTAACATGGTGATGTCTGTGACAATGGTTCATTCAAGAATCATGGTCAGGGCTGAATGACTCAGCAGTTAAAGAGCATTTACTGCTCTTCTAGAGAACCAGAGTTTGGTTCCCAGAACCCATGTCCAGCAGTTCATAACTGCCCATAATTTTAGCTCCAGATGATCTGACTCCCTGTGACCTCCTTGTGCATTTTCATGCATGTACACACACACACACACACACACACACACACACACATGCACACAGACACACATACCACATAAATAAATAAATACATTTAAAAAGTCATGGTCAGATACAAACCAAGATCATCAATGCCCCAAGACACACTGATTAATTAATCCTCCAAGTAAGAAGACATGCATTGTTTTGTCATGATGAACAGAATATGGCTTTGGAACCAAATGAACCTGGTAGACGTCTCACTTCCACTTAACACAGGCTGACTGACCTTGACCAAGTCATTTCCTCTCTAGTTTCATTTTTTTTTAATTTCTAAAGACAGTAATGGTTCAGCTGCAGGTGACTCCCTTCCCCCAAAAAACATGTAGTTGTATTAGTTATATTGACATTTTAATGAACAGGTCTGTCAAGGCTAAGTTCACAGGCCATCGTGAAGAGGAGAAAAAGAAGAGCATGTAGTTCATGATTTGTTCAATGCACACCCTTGCTCCTCATCCTCTTCTCACCCCAGCACCTGAAAGAGTTTATGCTTTGTGACACCCAAACTGTCTTTTTCTTACGTTTTGCCTCTTCCAATGAATTCCTATCATTTATCAGTTTATGTGGTTTATGTGATATGTGTATAGCGTGTGCATGCATGCATGTGCGTATGGAGGCCAGAGGTCAACCTCAGGCTCTATTCCTCAGGAACAGTCACTTTGTTTCTTAAGACAGTCTCCCATTGACCTAGGAGCTTGTTAATTAGGCTAGGCTGGCTACCTAGTGCGCGTCAGGGATCTGCCTGTCTCCACCTCCCCAGAGCTGAAGTTATTTGTGTGGAGCACCACATCTGCAGGTGCTTGGGATTGAAATCAGGTCCTTGCACATGTGGGACAAGCATTTTACCACCTGAACCATTTCCCCAGACTGTTTATATGTTTGAAAAAATCCAGTTTCTATTATGAAATAGAAATTCAAGAAAACAATTGAGCATTAGAATTTAAGGAAGAACCACTGTTTAGAGTTTAGTATGGAATTTCTTTTGAGATTTTGTTGCTCACCAGTGGATGTCAAATAGCCATAATATGCTGCTCTACCCAATATGATAAGCTACTTCATGCATTTTAACCTACAGGATAAATTAGTGTTTTAGGAAGGTGTTGTTCAGATCTGAAATGCCTCCCCCAAAGCCCATGGGTTGATGGTCACCAGCCTGAGGTACTATTTGGTGTAGGTAGAGCCTTTAGAAAATGGGACTCAGTAAAATAAGTTAGGTTACTGCGGACATTGAAGGGTATTTTGGAATCCTGGTCCTCTCTCTTCCTTGCTACTGAGCGGCTCCATTGAACCGTTCACTTATGCCACGCCAGGATGCGCACCTCATCACTTCACAGGTCCAGCACACTGCGGACTCGCTAAACCTTGGAAACTGTGAAAGAAATCATATTTCCATTTTTGTAAGTTGCTTGCTTCAGGCATTTTTGTCACATCAACTGAAAACTACCACAGGAACATCATCTTTTATTTCTTTTGTGTGTGTGTTCATAAGCGAATTCCTGACATTTTTCTAAAATATTCTCTTTCCACTGTTAGTTACCCATGACCACTGTTAGTCATGGGTAAAATCAAGAAAGACATCACCAGGGAAAAAAAAGCACATTTAAAGACAATTCATCTTAAAAATACTCAGTGAAAAATATTTAGAGTCAATATTGTCTGCGTATATGTAGCTATCCAAGTCAGTTCTTCCTCCTCCTCCTCCTCCTCCTCCTCCTCTTCCTCTCTCTCTCTCTCTCTCTCTCTCTCATATTAATATTACAAAACACTCAATCCTGTTTTGGATTAAGTCCTAATGTCAGGGAACAACACAGTTTATCAAAGGTGGAAGGGACTTTCACTTCCCCGTAGCATATTCATAGCAAATTTGCCTCCTTGACCTGCCCAAAGGAGAAGGAAAAAATCCTTCTTTTTTATTCTATTGGGAGGTCTTAATCCTTAATTAGCAGCATCATTCTGATTAAATAAGACTCTGGAGGATTAAGACTGGAGAACAAGTGGTTGTTCTGAAAGATAGCTCTGGAGAATTTATTGTGCTGTGGTCTTAGTCATTCAGAGTTCCGTTTAATCAAAGTGACATTTCTCAGCGTTGATTACAAAGGAGACACTATATGAATGAAATGTTTCCTTTGGGAAACAGAGGGGACTCCCAGGAGATTTGTGCTTCAGGGCTTTGGGTAGGAGGATGGGGGTGGGATGAAACGAATTTCTTCAGCTGTGAGGAGCCAGGCCAAATTTAGGAGGAACACATTTAGCAAGCGCTTTTTATTATTCTCTAATTTCACTTACATCTCAGATGAGCAGAGTCATGTGCTGTTTTTAAAGTCTAAGATAAGAGTGTCTAGAAAGGTAAATGAAGAACTGGAATACTATTCTTAAACATGATTAAAGACTGGATGTTCAGCTCCTTGAAGGCTAGATATATTCTTAGCTTCCTTGCTTCCGCAGTTGAAATAATAAACAACAGAACAAATTTTAAGAAAATCCACTTACTACAGTTTGTAGAAATGAGTATTACTATGAATGATGTCTAGCCCAGAACCAACTGCAAGGGTTGGTAGCAAGATGGACAGAAACTCGACTGACAGTCAGACAGCTAGCTGGCAGAGCCCTGACTTGGTCACTTAGGAGGGCCATGACCTCCAGGAAGGTCCTTAATTCTCAGAGACCCAGGTTTCTCAGTTACAATATGGGAATACCTCAGAGGGTTGTGGTGTCACCTATACACAAAGTATCCTAACAGAAATTCAAATGTTGATAGCTGTTATTATTATTATTATTAAAAGATGACTAAGTCATTGGCTAATACCATTATCTTAATGCTAGGAAACAGGGAACCCATTTAATAGGAGACCATCTTTAAAATGGGCCAGCCATTAACTCAACTGAATTCTCTAAGTCAAAAACTTCTCTAATGGGTTGAGGATATAGTTCCATGGTAAAATGGTTGACTAATGTGCAGGAGGCCCTAGGTTCAATCACCAGTT